GCGCCCTTCGTCGGTATGGCAGCTATAGACAGCAGGCGGCTGCAAGATCACGTGACAACTGTTTGGTTGGTAAGTCAGAAGTGTAACATAATTCGAAATGATATTCTTTCGGCGTATAGATTAGTGACGCTTTAAAAGTATTTAAGTTTTTAAAGCGCGTCAATAACTAACCTATGTAAATTAGTAACGCGCTTTAAAAATATTTAACTGTTTAATGATTTTTGTTAAAGCAGGGCACACACACACGTGTGTATGTCCTGCTTTATAGAAGTTGTAATTTTCGTTAAAGCAGGGCACACACACACACACGTGTGTATGCCCTGCTTTATAGAAGTTGTGATTTTTGTTAAAGCAGGGCACACACATGTGTGCCCTACATAGATTAGTTGACGCGCTTTAAACACTTAAATACTTTTAAAGCGCGTCATTAATCTATATAGGTTCGCCCCCCTGCACCCTCCATGCACCATCATGCACCACCATGCACCACCATGCACCCCCCCCAAAAAAAAAACACAACGCACGCCACACAATGGCCGCATTCAGGAAAGACAACTGTTGAGTGAGCGGTCAGTGATTCTTTAATATGATTGGTTCTTACCTTTGGTTCTTCTCCGGATCTAAGTGTAAGAACCAATCATAATGAGCGCTCACTCAACAGTTGTGTTGCCTGAACGCGGCCAATAATATGTTAGGTATAATAGAATTTAGGTATGTAACACATATTGTCAGGAAAAGTTAATAGATTTATTAATCCAGTATGATATGTTCTAACATCTACAATTAAATATAGTAAATATGGTAGTGACATTAATATTGATAAAGAAACATTAATGTACCGATGTAGAAAACGGTACTACGTAAAAAGTGAGCACAAGAAACGTATCTCTAAGCAGTACTGGTACTTGGTTCGTCGGATGTTTCTGGCTCAAGTTCCGGCTGGTCCTCAAAAGTGGATATCGGAGGATATAATTCTGCGATGACATCAAAGAAGTTTTCTATACGCTCCAAGCGGCTATAGGCGCGTTTGAAGAGATATTCGTTCAAATATCCAAGGACGTGATCCTCCCTGGTTCCATACCTTGGGATATTTCCGCGAACTTCTCTCCAAACACATTCTATATTCTGCGTATGCGCGCCTGTAGATTTAAAAAATGTATTAGAACAATATACAAATAAACAATAATAATATGCTTGTTAACTATGGCAAAAAGTTCTCACCAGTTTCAGGATCGACAAAGTTGTATGAGTGGTTTACCGTCAGATATTGGAAGCCTTCATTGTTTAAACAATTATAGGACTTCCAACAATCTGACATGATGGTGGTGCCTGGCAATATCCACTCTTTGATACACGCCAGAAGTGTCTCTTCAGTTCGATCCTGTACTGGCACGATGAAAATCTTCTTTGTGTCTTGCTCATATCCTCCGAAAATCCATTGACCTTTTACGAGCCGACCACGATTGTATTTTCTTTTTCCAATCTTTGCTTCATCGATTTCTAGTGTGCATCCTGGGCCACCAAGTTTCTCACTATGTTTTTCAGCCCAGTACGGGGATTCTCTAACTCCTTAACGACAGTTTCGGTATCGTTGCGCAGGTATTATATATAATAAAAAAGCTGCGCAACGATACCAAAACTGTCGTTAAGGAGTTAGAGAATCCCCGTACAGAACACACAGACCTGTAAGAAGAAATAATATTATTAATATTTTGTTTTATACATTTTACGTGTGTGTGTGTGTGTGTGTGTGTGTGTGTGTGTGTGTGTGTGCGTGCGTGCGTGCGTGCGCGCGCGCGCGCGCGTGTGTGTGTGTGTGTGTGTGTGTGTGTGCGCGCGTGCGTGCGTGCGTGTGTGTGTGTGTGTGTGTGTGTGTGTGTGTGTGTATTTATGAAAATATGTTAAAATATAATTATCTCTCGGCAAAAATTGAACCAGTCAACAATCGTGGTCGGCGACGAAACGCCAGTTTCATCTTGTGTGTCATCTTGACGTGGATGTTTCAACATTAAGAAACAGGCAACAATTTTGCATATTGTTGCCACGTCAAGATGACTTTTTCCGAACCAAGTACCAGCTTTGCCACTTTTTTTTAAATTGCACTGCTTTGAGACACGTTTCTTGTGCTCATTTTTTACGTAGTACCGTTTTCTACATCGGTACATTAATGTTTCTTTATCATTATTAATGTCACATTCACTACATTTAATTGTAGCTGTTAGAACACCATGCTGGATTGAAAAATCTATTAACTTTGTGACGTGACATTTGTCACGTCCGCCGCCCAGACGATAGCTCGGCCGAGGGGAAGGTCAGGGATGGCGCCTCGACTCGAAGAAGGGCTACCCGCGTTAACTAACCTTTTTGAGAAACATTCCGTAGGGATGACAGGTGGTGCCGGAGCGTGGGATCACGACCAGATGTAACGACGATAATCGCGACGAGGGAGAAACGGGCGCTCGGAGGACGCACGGCGGAGTGGTCGGCCGACGGGCGGGCCACCGGGACCTGCCGCTGGAGAAGCGCCGGGAATGCCTCGCACAGCGTAAGAGCCACCGCACAAGACTCTCGTATGGTCACGTAGCATAACGTAACGTGAGCTAACGCACAAGAAACGTATTGGTTACGACCGTTATGGCGTTATACATTTCTTGTGCGTTGATCTACGTTACGTTACCATGCGAGAGCTAGTGCGGAGGCTCTAACCGATACGTTTCTTGTGCGTTGACTAACGTTACGTTACGCTACGTGACCATACGAAAGTCGTGTGCGGTGGCTCTAAAGCCCTTTGCACAATGCCAGGCAACAGGCAATAGGAACAGGAAATAACCAAAAAATCGTTAATTACAACCTAAAAGATTCGAATGCTATGATTGGTTGGCAACAGGCAATAGACACAGAATTTCCAACGTGACGGAAACTCTGTGTCTATTGCCTGTGTCACTGTTTATTCTGCATTTATACATGATTTCTGATTTCTATTCCCTGTTCCTATTGCCTGTTGCCTGGCATTGTGCAAGGGGCTTAACACGGCTCCGCCGCAGCATGAACACGGGTGCGCCACCGCGACTGCAGCGCGGGTGGACGACCCACACACTCACCTGACGGCGCCCCAAGGGCCGAGCGGCGCCGCCACGGCCTGGCCAGCCGGGCGGAAAACCGCGAGGGGCCCGCGCGCAACCAGCAGCCAAGTCAAAAGGGCCGCGGGAAAATGGCGGAAATCGTCTGCAACGTCGCGAACAGGGCGACACACACGACCAATCGGCGGGGCGGAAGAACCGCGAGCTTGAGGGCGCAAGTGCGGGGGTCCGGCGTGGTCCCGCCGAGCCGGCCGCTCCTCACTGTCGATCTAGCCGCGGACGAGGAGCCACCCCTGGAGGAGCGCCCCGACGCCGCCGAGCCGCAGCGAGCAGCAGAATTGTAAGATCTCCACTCCGGTGCTGCCTATTGAGGGCTCGATCTCGGTCGCGACACGGTGCCAGAAAGGCGTATATCGAGTAGATTACCGTGTGAATCGGCCTGATTACGTGTCGTACTTAGCTACCGGCTCCCGCCGTTGTGGATGCCGGGAAGATGATTGCGGCTGTTTGTCGGGATTGCGGGCACGTGGCCGGCCGAGATCGTAGCCAGAAACAGTAAAAGCCCTACTCGAAAACTAGCGAATGATCGGCAGTCAATTCGCGTATATCGTCGTGCGTGTCTTGTGAATCGTGGGCGGAGGTGTGCCGCGGGCGGCACACTCCGGTGCATATTGTGTTTAGTGTTGCGTATTAGAGTATATTATCGCGTGTCGCGTACGGAAGTCCCGTGTGCGTGTCGGGAGGGACCGCGCCGGGCACCTGTTTGCGTATTTGGGTATATTATCGCGTGTCGCGTACGGAAGCCCCGTGTGCGTGTCGGGAGGGACTGCGCCGGGCACCTTGGGGTGCATTGGGGTGCATCGCGAGCCTCGCGGATATCTTGCGCCGTGTGTGCGGACAAATATCGCCGCGTCGGCTCGAAAGGGAATCTCGCGAGCGCGCCATTATCTGGCGTTGCATATGTTGTGTCGTGCGGGTGCGAGTCGTGTATGTCGAGCGTGTGAGGATTGTTATGTCGAGTGTATGAGAATCGTTTGCGTCGGGCGTGTAAGAATCGCCGAGCGTTTGGGATCCGGAGATTAAGGCGTGGGCGGATTGGCGTTATCGCGGGGTCGCGCTTAGAATCGAGATTGCGGGGTTCGCTTGAGAGCTTCGCTCGCGAAGGGAGCCTCGCGAGCGTGAACATCACGCACTCCGCGCGTGCTGTAACGGCCGATCCGGTTACCGCGTTGGTACCGGCCATTTGAGCGAGATCCGGCCTTGGTTTCCCGATACGATTTGTTCGTTACTGAATGAAATATATCTCATTAATATTGTTTATCGTCGGGCTTTATTTTTGTGTGTTGCTTGCGTCACGCTCCTTCTTCGCCTTCATCCCTTTCACGCGGAACTACGCCCTGAGCTTGTGGCGAGACTAAGGAGGAGAACGCTATCGAGACGTAGTGCGCGTCTATAATCGCACCTGGCGCCCAATCGAATGGTATCGCCCAAGACCTCAGATACGGGAATTATGGTAAGAGAAGTGACTTCGTTATTCCGCCCTTGGAGCTATCGTTTGGTGGTCCGCGGATTAATTTGCAGCCGCGCCCCCTCGGCCAGCGAGACCGAGGGAAATCGGGTTGCAACTTATCCTGACAATATGTCAGATGCCCGAACTCTATTAATCCTAACATTGCGTGGCGACGTAGCGTGCAATTTCGTGGCGTCTAACAATAACGACATTGTCGCGCTTTATTTGTTTTATAAAATACATATTTAAAATTGGCGCATTTTTGCATGCGCGTGCGGCCACTGAGCATTATGCCAAAAACATTTAATGACATGCGGAATGTTAAAATTTAAAAAAACGGCGGGAACTTAGTTGCCAACTTAATATTAAACGTTAAAGTTGACAAAAATCAGGTTATGATTCATGACCATGAAGCTAGCCGACAGAAATTACTAAATTTGATAATTTCTAATTTTTCTAAGTGTATTTCGTTTGTAAATCGTTTGTAATTGATTGTGAGTCAGTTTTTAACGTTTGTGACCAATTAGTTTGTTTGTAATTAACAATTTTATTTTGGCCATGATGTCAGCCGACACTTTTTAATAACAAACCGATTTTTGATTTCTGATAGCTGTAATTAATAGGAAATTGTTTGTGATTTACGAATATACCAGTGAAACGTTTGTGAATTAATAAGTTTCTGAGTTATTTGCAAAATAAGTTTAGTTAATATGGTTAATGTACTGCGCAGATCGCTGCATATGCGCGAAATGTACTCAAGGCTCCTGCGCACAAAGAGTGCGTCGACGCATTTCGCATGGTGGAAGTCGATGCGGTGGACAATCACTTCTCACCTTTCTGTAACTAGCGGGCGATTATTGGCCACGCATTGCCTGTATGAAGCTAGCCGACAGAAATAACTAAATTCGATTAGTTTTAATTCTTCTAAGTGTATTTTGTTTGTAAATTAAGTGTATTTCGTTTGTAAATCGATCATCGTGATTGATTGTGAGTCAGTTCTTAACGTTTGTGATCAATTAGTTCTTTGTAATTAACAATTTTATTTTGGTCATCAAAGAGTGCGTCGACGTATATTACGCATGGCGAAAGTCGATGTGGTGGCCAATCACTTCTCACCTTTCTGGTACCAGCGAGTGATTATTGGCCACGCATCCTATGAGCAAAAATCCTCAGTAGTTTTAAAATATCTGTCATATATCACGTTTGTTTACAATCTTTAATGTAATTAATATTACATCAGTTAGCTTCATACAGGTAATGCGTGACCAATAATCGCCCGCTAGTTACAGAAAGGTGAAAAATGATTGGCTACCGCATCGACTTCCGCCATGCGAAACGCGCCGACGCGCTCTTTGTGCGCAGAAGCCTTGAGTACATTTCGCGCATGCGCAGCACAGTTATCTGCGCAGTACATTAGGCTCCGGTAACTTAGCCGGTCAACTTCGACTTTATTAATTTTCATATTTTTTTATCGTTTGTTGGTCGTTTGTTGGTGATTGTTGGCCTAATTACAACGTTTGTTAATTCTTAATTTTTTTTTTAATTTAAAAAGAAAAATTAGCATTAAGGTGATTGGGCCATGTACCATATGAGTCAATATAAGGCCTAAAATTTATTTTAAGAAAAACCATTTTTATGGATATATTCTAGACACTTGTATAATTACTGATTTTATAATGTAACTTTTCATTCGATGACGTATCAATTTATCTACTGATAAATGTAAACAGTTCAAGATTTGACTTCAGTTGACATTCGTACAAGAGAAATGTCGCGACATTGCATCTCTTCGCTGTAGGCAGCTATCATGCCAGTGCCATGTGTTTGAGTGAGGTTATGTATTGTGTTTATGTTGAAAAATAATGGAAGGTAACAAACAATTTCGATAACGGGAGATTTGCTTGCAAAAGAATAGTGCTGTGGAAAGAAACACTACACGGCGCGGCGTGCGTTGCCACATGTCCACGTCGCGTACAGCTGATCGAAAGGCCGACAAGAAACGCGACGATTCATCAACTTTTGATTGAATTTTTGGCCTTATTACACGTCAACGTCGTTTTGTCTTATACTTAACAAGTGCTAGAAGAATCAAATAATGTTATTTTCAGTTTTTTGAACTTGTTTCTTTACAGACAGTGAGTGAACTTCTCGAAAAATGTATGTTTTCGGTACAATTTCCCATAAAATCTATTAAAAATGCCAACTTTGAGATTTAATATCTCAAAAACTAGACGTCAGATCTTCTCAAAATTGCAAATTTAAGCGTATTTAGGTTTTTTTTATAACATATATTTAATTCGGATTTTTTTCTTTGACATGCTCTGATGGCCCAATCACCTTAAGTTAGCCGGAAAAATTTTATTTTTAATTTCAAAAAAGCCTAATCGATGCGTAATCGTTTGCTGATGATTGTTGGTCTAATTTTAGCGTTTGTTGGTTTATTATTAGTCTTAAAAACGAAAAAAAAAAACAAAAAATTATCTCACATATTAAAGTAATCGAAGATTGGTTTATTTGCCTACGACTTAAGCTTTATTTCTATCAATTTAAGGCTAACATCTATAAAACTGCCATATGAATACGGGCCTTAACATCGGCAGAAAATCGCGAAAAGATCAAGAAACATGGTGGTTCGTGGGAAGCACACACACACACACACACACACACA